GAAATGCCACAAATGATTGTTTTCAAGAAATGTGAGCTTTCCGAACCGACAATTAAGGTGGACGTCATGAGCAATGTGAATGAATGAGATTGTGCGGGACCCGATGCTGTTTACGTGCACTTATGGAGACTATCTTTTTCTATTTTTACACAACGCTTGGTGGCTAATACTATTTTGTGCTGAAAGGCAGCTATTTACTTACTAATTATAATTGCGCCGGTAACCGTATTATAAAAGCAATAAGGTACTTGAGGCAGTACTTTATCTTAAATAATGTAACTGTTCGAGGGTTGCCTAACAACGCCCCCGAACTGTTACATTATTGGACGATAAAGTACAGCCTCTCGTACCTTATTGCTTATAGAAAAGATGTATTAAGTTAATTTTTTGGCATAGTGAAAAAGTACTATGTTCTGTTTTGATTAACGTGATTGATGTAACTACAATGTCAGTACTTAATGATGAATTCTGTACAAAAAAACTGTTCCTTTATGATGAAATTGCTGGGACTGGATCCCAGTTGCTCTATTGTTGCTCTCAGCTAAAGGTCTTAAAGCAATGTCTACCCTGCAGTGACCCTCTAACACTCACAGCGATGTCCTGAGCGCTCTGTTTGGACACGGTGATGGAACCCTTCAGCCAGGATGGACTCTGGATACCTATCTTCTTCCACACCTCGTCGTCACTGCCGGGCCTTTTGGCCAGAACCCTCAACACATTCTGATTGTCTGATCCATACATGTAGTATCGGAACTGGACACAGATCTGAGAGGCTGCAGATGAGAGGGGAGGGCTGAGCAGACGCGATGTCTGTCCATTAGCCACATTGTCAGCCTCGTGGTAGATATAGAAGCCCGCTGCAGACAGATTAAGACAGATAAGATGTGAAATTGAGTCAGACTTCAATATTTCTATAGTAAGACCCTCAATGAACCTCAATCGTGGTCTGGTCACCAATATTGGTTACACTGTACAGAAATCTTTCGGATGGACTCAGGACCGACCTCCATCAGGGTAGTCTCCACTGGGTCCAGTACCGGGTGTCGGGGTTGATCCTCTGTGTCGGGTCCAGTCCCCCCTGTCAGTGTTGTCCTGAGTGAACCTGCAGAATGGTTCACTGTCCTGGTTGAAGTCACAGGAAGTCAGTACTGCTGCTGCAGAAACACAAGAGCAGGCAGAGCGAAAACACGGATATTAAATCATTCAATATAGGTTTATATGGTTTAGCAAAAAAAGAATCTGTAGTCATTGCAATTAATAATTTAAAGCCGCTATTTACAAGATCTGCCTTTTTTTATTTTTTGCCACAAATAAGATGAGTTTGTGTTTTCACAAGAGTCACAATGAAGTTAGGGTCTACATAGACTTTGATTGTAAATAGTCTTGTCTGTAGTAATACAATCCTGCTTATTGTTTATGGATTGTGAAGATAATGCGCTTTAGGAGGGGAGGTAAAGTCCACGTCCACGCCGAGGACAGTGTGGCGGAGTCACCCAACGTGTGAGCGTGCAATCCAACTTCTAATCAACAGTCAAATTTATTTGAAAAATACATATGATTTAATCCATGATCAAATCCAACTTACCATCTCTTTGTGTTTTCTGCAGGCTGTAAAAGAGAGGAAGACACATAAACAGACTTTTTGTAACGTTTGGTGTAAAGCACCTTATTTCCCTTAATTGATTGTACACCCAAATGTAAAGTGTAGATTTAAGGCGAGAATATAAATTAGCAACATGCGATAATTCCCTCTTCTGTTAACTGGTTGAATCATCAAAACAAAGAATACAGAAACACCCTGCTACTGTTTGTGAGCAGCAGACATAAAGTCGATGATAAAAATATTATCATCTAACAAAGTCCCGATAAAAAGTCACTATTGCTCGAAGGCTATCTCTATTTATTTATTTATATAAAAGGAACCATGTAAATACCACCAATTGATGCACTGTGACAGATTATAGCTTTAAACTATTTTGCAAGTCAAACAAGGACAAAACAATAACACATTAAAAGGAAAAGACATGATACAAAGATATAGCATAAAGAACATACTAGACACCCAGTACAGCGCTACGGTTTCCCCCCGATCCCACAAATAATATATATTCCAACACAATTAATTAATTTATTTTAAATTTAAAGAAAATATTTAGAATTTTTTTTTAAATGTGCTATAAAATTCCAGCCCAAACACAAGTAACTCTTCTGAATGAAATGTGCAATGACACATGCTGAGATCTGAATAATTAGCACTGTATTAGATTAGCGGATTGACAGAAAAGGAATCATTGATACATTTTTTCTAAATTGATGGAACATTTAAAGTGTATTCGTTTTCATATAATTATAAATTGACGACTTTGAAGTGCTGATACAACAAAACCCTAAATAGTGTATTTGGTATTTTGGGGACTTACCTGTACTCTGCCTGACCTCCACACATCCACAAGAGCAGAATCAGAAACCTGAACACATCCATGGCTAACTGTTGGTCAGCACGACAGACACAGAGAGACTGAGCCAAGCACCTTATAAAGAGGGCTAAGATGAAGGGGTGATGGGTGGATGCTGAATTCTAGCAGTACATGATGTTGCAAAATGTGTAAATGAGTAACCGTTAGTGATAAAAAAAGGGTGTGTTATCGTTCCTTGTGATTCTCTAGGTGTATCTGTGCGTGTGTGTGTGTGTGTGTGTGCGTGTGTGTGACCTCTCAGCAGGTCACAGGGTGGGTGGGGATTCCCATGAAACATTTTATTCCACATGACCATCTTGTCGAGAGGCTTTTTAGAGCTCATTGTGTAATAAACCGAACACATAGATCACAGGGACGCACCTTATCACCATCTACTGTAAGTCTCAGAAGAAGCCCCGTCTCAGTCTGCATCTTTTGTTTGAAACGGACTCTAATCAGATTGTAATCACACATCACGTATTTGGACAATTTAGACTCAACTAGACAAAATCAAAATTAAATGTCAACTCAACTTGGACTTAAACCCCAAAGACTCTTGACTTCACATGAAGTATACTTGTGATGTTTCCCACAGGCCCAAATATGAAAAATTATGATTATCTAAAATTTTCCAGCATAAAATGAATGAAGTCCAGACACACTTTTTTGTTGAAAAAAAAAATATGATAGCATTTAAAATGGCATTAGATTTGGTGAGGAGTCTTTCATGACCTTCTGAGAACCCAAGACAAAGTGTAGGACTCGGAGCGCAGTATTTGACCTTGGACCTGTCAGTCTCGACATAACCCGGCCATGGATTTCACTTGGGACTTGAGGACTTGAGACTTATTGTAACAAAACTATGAGTTGGTCCCTTCACTTCAGCTCTCTTTTTTTCCAAGCAATACTATTGTGTATAATTATTATTATTAATGAAACGCATAAAAGGGATATTGATTGTTTAATTCTTATTTGAGGATTCAGACTAGATGGGGTTGAACCGACGTCTCGGTTTTGTTCTGTCTGTGTCTTTTGTTACACGGATCAAATTGTTGTTAAACTTTGTTTTCCATAGCAACCGGACATTGACCTCGGGCTACCTCCGTCATAAGTGACATCTTGACAGACTGTCACAGATAACCTTGACAGGTTATCTGTGACAGTCATCTAATTACTGCGTTAAAGGGCCTTACTTTGGGGTTTTACGGGTGTCTACGCCCGTGTTGAGCCACATTAATACATTTCTTTACCATCACAGGAATAACTATTCAGATGTTTTTTTGAAAATCTTTTTATTTATATTGATTATTTTACAACCACTATTTGAAGGATGAAGGAGACGCTTGTAATCTTTTCAATTCCTGTCAACGACCATCTTTCTCAGAGCAGCAGCCAACTGGTGTTTGAATACAGAGTGTGTTTGGAGAGAATGCTCTTTATTTTTATGTTCTGATCTTTTCAGCTTTTTTGATCACATTAGTGTACTGAATGCAAGCGTCCTGCCTTATGTTTTAAACACTTATGATAAATAATATTGTGAATTTTTTCAAAATAAGTAAAACCATCTGAATGATTAATAAGCAGTCCTAGTTTACGCTCGCTAAAGCAGCATGTAAATATGACAAAAAAAAGCATTTAACTCTGCAGAGAAATTGCAACCCATCAGTGTTTGAGGACAGACGTTTCCGTTGTAAACTCAGCGAGTTGGGCCTCTGTAGAGGCCACATTATAATGCTTCATCTCCCACAATCATCCAAGACAACACTTCTTTAAGCAGGTTGACAATATTGATACTCAACCTGTGTGTCTTATGAAATCTACAGACTGAATGTGAAAAGTGAATCTCACTTGAATGGCTTTTTACTTCAAAGAGAGCAAAATTTGTATCCAATTATGTATGCTTAAATTATTCTGGAGTACATTTAAATACAACGTTCAAAAAGAGTTGATACTTAATTGCAATTTATTCTAACATATGTTCAAAGTTAGACAAAACATGCGGTCTGCTTTATAAGCTTGGTTGACTCAACCAACTCTGACTAATATACAATTATAGATTTTAAATGTAGAGAAAACATGATCAGGCGTCGTTGGAAACACCCTGAGGAAGTGCCGTTCAGCTAATGAATCACTGATCTTTGTACCAATGTGCAAAACACTTCTCCAATACATGTCCTTAGCAACAAACTGGGTGTGGCCCGGAGATATTTAAGCAAAGTACAAGTGGATGTGCGTATATCATTATTATGGCCGTGTCTTATTGGAGACATATCTAAAGTCTAAAGTCAAAAGCTCAACATCCTTTTTTTTCACAGAACATATTTAACGTTCTACTTCACCCACACACAAGTGGAGGGTGGGTGGTCAATCTAGCATGTTGTGACAATACACATCGTGCTAAAACACCTTGTCAACGGTGCTGTTTTCAGCTCTTGGGACTGAAGTGTTCTCCTGGACTGTGGGGCAATGAGACACATCAATGATGAAGAGCTATTTACTGTACAATTCCAGAAAAATGTTTAACCCACTCTGCTGTTTACGGTTATAGCTAGATTGTACAGCAGCGTAGTCCTGGTCCACACAGCGTGTACTTCTGTCCACAGTGTTTATAGTGTTTATGGAAAGCCATCGCAAACCCTCTCCCTTCTCTCAACACAGGTGTCCTTATTGAGGACAGTAGCGGCGGAGTAGATGGAGTACGATAAGCAGTGGCGGCCCCCACCATGAGCGACGAAAAATAAATAATTATTTTTTGTTGTTTATTATATTAAAAACACATTTTACAAATAGTTAATATCTGTGGTTTTGAAACGTGGATTGTATAACGTTACCCGGTAATATTTGTAAATTAATGATATCTGCGCAAAATATATGCTTTTCGTGTCTCGGCGGCAGTGTCCTTCCAAGAAGACCCGACTCGGACTCGGTACGAGAGGAGAACTATCCAGGAGGTCCGTCAGTTCATTGGTCTGGCCTCGTACTATCGACGATTTGTGAAAGACTTCGCCACAGTAGCTGAACCCCTCCACAACCTCACCAAGAAGTCTGTCCGGTTCCAGTGGACCTCAGAATGCCAAAAGGCGATTGATGAGCTGAAACAAAGACTGATCACCACACCAGTCCTGGGATACCCATTGGATGAGGGAAACATGATACTGAACACTGATGCAAGAGACACTGGCATCTGTCACGGTGTGGTTCACTTCCTGTTGTATTTTGTAGTTTTCTGCCACTCGTGTCCCCGGGTAACTTCACTTCCTGCCTTGTCCCGTCATCACCTGTGATTGTCTAAGGGTTTCCACCTGTGTCCAATCACCTGCACCTCCCTTGTGTATTTAAGCCGTGTGTCTCCTGTGTCACTTGTCGCGTCATTGTCTTTCGTCACACATGTTGCCTGCTGTTTTTCCTCCCGGTTCCTGTGTTTTTGACCTTTGACTATTAAAGTCCTTTTGTCCCTGCAAGTCTGCATTTTGAGTCCTGACTCCCACACACACTCGTGACAGAATGACGCGACCAAAGAAGGACTCAGCAGAGTTTTTTCCCCTGGAAGACTTCAGGGGAACCCGTCTGGCAATGGGCGGTCCACGCAATCTCCAGCGGGCCGCCCGTAATGGGGGAACGGTCCTCCCGGGGGTTCCAGCTGGGTACCTGTACTACTCCGTCTCCCCATCTGGAGCCCTCAGTAGGCATCTGGGTCACCATCCGCCGCCCACCACATGGTCCCCAGAGGAGGAGGCCATTTCGTGGTCGTCCGGCGGCGATTCTCACTGGGAGCGGGTAATGGACCTTGCGGTCCGACTCCAGGCCACCTATGCTCCCCACGCTCGGCCGCAGCGACGTCCCAACCCCGCTCGGTCGCAGCGCACAATGTCCAGCGCTGGGCCGCAGCGACGTCCCGACCCCGCTCGGTCGCAGCGCACAATGTCCAGCGCTGGGCCGCAGCGAGGTCCCGACCCCGCTCGGTCGCAGCGCAAAATGTCCCGCGCTGGGCCGCAGCAGATTCCCGTCCCAGCCTCCCGACCCAAGCCCATGACCCCTGATCCGACGCCCCGATCCAGGTCCACGACCCCCGAGCCAGCGCCACGATCCATGCCCCCGGTACCGGCCCCACGATCCATGCCCCCGGTACCGGCCCCACGATCCATGCCCCCGACCCCGGTACCGGCCCCACGATCCATGCCCCCGGTACCGGCCCCACGATCCATGCCCCCGACCCCGGTACCGGCCCCACGTTCCATGCCCCCGACCCGACCAGTACCGGCCCCACGTTCCATGCCCCCGACCAGTCCCCGCTCCGAGACTCACGACCCCGACGCCCCCAGTCCCCGCTCCGAGACTCACGACCCCGACGCCCCCAGTCCCCGCTCCGAGACTCAGGCTCCCTCCCTCCCATCCCATGGTCCTCTCCCACCCTCCCGTTGGTGATTGTGAGGGCCGTCTGAGATCCGGCCCTTGAGGGGGGAGGCTGAGCAGCCTACTGCGGAGGTGTTCCGTGTCCCCGAGCCGGAGCCGACGACCGCGGAGGTGTTCCGTGTCCCCGAGCCGACGACCGCGGAGGTGTTCCGTGTCCCGGAGCCGACGACCGCGGAGGTGTTCCGTGTCCCGGAGCCGACGACCGCGGAGGTGTTCCGTGTCCCGGAGCCGACGACCGCGGAGGTTTCCCGTGTCTCCGAGCTGCCGCCGCCGACCCCGGAGGTTTCCCGTGTCTCCGAGCCTGCCATTCTAGAGACGTTCCGTGCCCTGCAGTCGCCGCTCCGGAGCCGGCTTGGTGACCACCCGCCGGGCCAACCCCCAGAGGCTCCCCGCTCGTCTGGCCACCCGCCGGGCCGCCCGCCAGAGTTTCCCAGGTGGTCCGACCAACGTCTCTGATTTCCCTGCCCCCCCACCCCTTGTTCGCTCTAGTGTTGGCCGTCTGGAATTCGGCCCTTAAGGGGGGGGTACTGTCACGGTGTGGTTCACTTCCTGTTGTATTTTTGTAGTTTTCTGCCGCTCGTGCCCCCGGGTAACTTCACTTCCTGCCTTGTCCCGTCATCCCCTGTGATTG